TTATGTATACGTATAATTACGAACGTCACAGTTATGAGCGCGAAATAACTATGCACATCTTTCTCCTATGTATAGAAGTACGATTTTTTTCTGACTGAACCTTACATACACCTTTTGTAGAGAGAGAAATGAAGCGATAGCTTGAATGAATTCAATCTATGACTTGTCTCCACTATATTTTTTAAAGTTTTTATACCCCTGCTGATATAGGCGTCCTTATAGCGTGAAAATTATAGTAAATAAACGGCAGCATTTCCACAATTTCATGGTTTTCTGTTTTCAGACATGTTAATCCAGATAGTTCAAATGGAGGACCGGTTGGGGTCAATGCCCTGCATCTATTGATATTCGAATGTAGATATACATAGTAAATTGTCCAAGTTACGAAATCTCTTTCTTGCTTATTTAGGTACTCCTTCCTGAGGACACGATCAAGCTATAGTTGGAATATGATTAATGTATGGCATTTATCTACTTCACAATGTTAATGTTGTTCATGCTCTGGCTCACTGTTTCATTAAACCTGTGACCTGCTGATGTAGGTACGCTTACTAGAGGACACAATCAAGCGGTAGTTGGATTAATGTCAATCTATGGCATTTATCTACTTCACAATGTTAATGTTGTTCATGCTCTGACTCACTGTTTCATTAAACCTGTGACCTGCTGATGTAGGCACGCTTACTAGAGGACACAATCAAGCGGTAGTTAGATTAAAGTCAATCTATGGCATTTTTATATTGCACAATGTTAATGTTGCTTATGCTTTGACTCACTGTTGCATTAAACCTGTGACCTGCTGATGTAGGTACCTCTGTTAGAGGACACAATCAAGCGATACCTCGAGTCGGTTGAAGGGCCGCTCGACGATAATAGGCGAACTGAGATGAAAGCTCTGGTATTTGAGTCTGTTAGTCAGTTGTACTGCATGTATTGGATAGTTTTATTTATAGTACACAGTTTTATTTATAGTACTCAGTTTTATTTTTAGTACTCAGTTGTATTTATAGTACTCAGTTTTATTTATAATACTCAGTTGTATTTATAGTACTCAGCATTATTTATAGCACTGAGTTCTATTTATAGTACTGATGGAGACGAGAAAGCTCTGGTTGGTTAGTCTGATAGTCAGGTGTACTGTATGTATTGCATAGATTATTTATAGTACCAGAAATATATATAGTGCTGATGCAGTTGAGAAAGCCCTGGTAGATGAGTCTGTTATCCAGGTGTGCTGTATGTATTGATAATTGTACCTGTAGTACTCGGTTCTAATTATAGCACCGATGGAGATGGGAATGCTCTGGTAAATAAGCTTTATAATCAGGCGTACTGTATGTATTGGAAAGTTCTTTTTCTTGTACTCAGTTCTATATAGTACTGATGGAGACGAGGAAGCCCCGGTATGCTAATCTGTTAGTCAGGTGTACTATATATTGAATAGTTCTATTTATAGTTCTCAGTTCTATCTATAGTACTGATGCAGACGAGAAAGCCCTGGTATGCGAGTCTGATAGGTAGGTATACTGTTTGTATTAGATAGTTCTATTTATTATACTGATGATCTCCGTATGAGGCCCAAGGGTTCTTAAGCAATGAAGTCCCTAAGCTGCAGCGCTATCTCTTGGGTTTAGGTTCTAAAACTGTAAAACATGACCGCACATACACACGCTACTAAAACTCTAAAACATGAGCCGACATATACACACGCCTACCAACACGAATACCTATAAACATACACACCTACAAACACACACCTACAAACACACCTACAGATATATTACTGCCACGTATTCAGATATATCATCACCCCATACACACCCCGAAGTACCTTCTATTTCTACTTCTTCAATACAGGCCAAGGATTTCCTCCACAACGAAGGACCTAATCTGCAGCGCTTTCTCAGGGCCAAGTCGTGGCTGTCCGAGAACTACGTGACGGATTGGTGGGAGAAGTACGTGTACTTGATGTCACGTGACAGCCTGATGATCAACAGCAACTACTATGTGTGCGACTTAGCCTACATCACACCCAGCAACGATCAGGTTGCCCGGGCAGCTGTGCTGATGTACGGCGCAGTGCGATTTAAAGAGCTTCTTGATAGGTGTGTGTGATGGATCTGTTC